CCCTAGCCAGGCTTTAGCACAACAGGTTAACCACCAACTGCAGTAACTCTTGCCAATTGAAAGGTGGCAGTTCGAAGCCTGGGTCAGGGTAAGCTCTTGGCCTTTAGCCCAGCTTCTGCCTACCTAGTAGTTTCGAAAACAGCAATGTAAGTAGATAAATAAGTACCGCCTATATATACCTCTATCTATGTACAGTTGTCTGTCTTGTCAATGTATATAAATACTGTCAATCAATAAATACATAGCTTCGTCCTGTTGGCCTTTCCCCCCTCCAGCCCTTGCGTATCAGTGTCTGCTACTGGAAGGAAAGCCAACCCGGGGTTCTGAGGGAGCTCCCTTCCTTCATCAGCCTCCACGGAGCAAAACACCACGTTTACGGGCTGCCGGCCGGCGACTACCCTGGCCTTGTCAAGGTGAGTGTCACAGTTTTGTAGCGTGATGGAGACCATCAGATAATAAAACCACACTGGTGGAGTTTGTGGAAACTAGACCTTGATAGTTGGGAGATGTAGTTGCTGGGATTTATAGTTCACCTACACTGGAAGAGTATTCTGAATTCTATCAACAATAGTATTGAGCCAAACTTGGAACACAGAGCTCAATAGGCCCAAATGTGAACACTGGTGGAGTTTGTGGAAGCTAGACCTAGATAGTTGGGAGATGTTGTTCACCTAAATCCAGATGGATCTGGACCAAATTTGAGCACGAATACTCAATATGCTAAGTTGCTGGGATTTATAGTTCGTCTACAATCAAAGAATATTTTTAATTCCATCAACAATAGTATTGAGCCAAACCTGGCACACAGATCTCCCATGACAAAGTAGAAAACACTGGAAGGGTTTAGTGAGCCATGACCATGAGTTTGGGAGTTGTAGTTCACCTACATCGAGGTAGAGCTCTGTGGACTCAAACAATGATGGATCTGAACCAAACTTGGCACGGATACTCAATAGGCCGAAATGTGAACACTGGTGAAGTTTGTGGAAGCTAGACCTTGATAGTTGGGAGTTATAGTTGCTGGGATTTATAGTTCACCTACAATCAAAGAATATTCTGAATTCCACCAACAATAGTATTGAGCCAAACTTGGCACACAGAACTCCCATGACCAAGTAGAAAATATTGGAAGGGGTTAGTGGGCCATGACCTTTTAGTTTGGGAGTTGTAGTTCACCTCCATCCAGAGAGCACTGTGGACTCAAACAATGATGGATCTGGACCAAACTTGGCACGGACACTCAATAGGCCCAAATGTGAACACTGGTGAAGTTTGTGGAAGCTAGACCTTGATAATTGGGAGTTATAGTTCACCTACATCCAGAGAGCACTGTGGACTCAAATCATGATGGATCTGGACCAAACTTGGCACGGATACTCAATAGGCCCAAATGTGAACAATGGTGGAGTTTGTGGAAGCTAGACCTTGATAGTTGGGAGTTGTAGTTCACCAACATCCAGAGAGCACTGTGGACTCAAATCATGATGGAACTGGACCAAACTTGGCAGTCTGGACAAAACTTGGATACTCAATAGGCTGAAATGTGAACAGTGGTGGAGTTTGTGGAAGCTAGACCTTGATAGTTGGGAGTTGTAGTTCGCCTACATCCAGAGAGCACTGTGGACTCAAATCATAATGGATCTGGACCAAACTTGGTTCTTAAGACCACCAGAAATATGATCTCTGGCGACCCCTCTGACACCCTCTCATGTCCTGACCCCCAGGTTGAGAAACACTGTCCTATCAGTACTTGTTGAACTTAGGGACTGGATTCAAGTCCTCTAGTCTGCAAAGCAAAGGCTCTCCCTAATTAACTGCAGCCCGATTTTCCCATTTGCTAGATCTGTTACCATTACGGCAACCTTGTGGACCCGGAAACACCTGACCGCCTGACCCAAAGCTCCCCTCCTGTCCCCGACGTCCAGATCCTGAAGGAATTCGTCCGGAAATACCTTCCGGGGCTCGATCCCGAACCGGCCGTCCAGGAACGCTGCTTATATACGGTAAGGAGCGGGAGGCAGGCTTCACCTGTTGGGTCTCCACCTGCTGACGTCACTTTGGAAAGCAATCAGGAGAGGGAAATGTGCCTCTCTTTCTCCGATCCTCCTTGAAATCTGATTGAGAGGCGCTTCAGTCAGAGCTGATGAGAGAAGGACTTCTCCAAACGAGGCGTAATTAACTTACGGACCCCAAAGTGATTGCCACCAGCTCGGCGCATTTTTCAGAAACGAGAACAAGCTGGAAAGAAAGGGGCGGGGAGGGAGAGAAAGGCCTAATATCGGGTGTTGAGAGGCGAGCCTCCAAAGCAAAGAGCAGTCTATCTTTGGATACCAAAGAGTTTATTTATTTATCGTGTCAGGATCAACCAGACAATTGTATTACATTTTAAACAAATTTTTAGCAAGCAAACACAAAGAACACAAAGTTTGCAAGCTTGGTAGTTGATTAGATGTCCTAAACAATGGCGAGATTCCATCTGAACATGAGGAAGAACTTCCTGACTGTGAGAGCCGTTCAGCAGTGGAACTCTCTGCCCCGGAGTGTGGTGGAGGCTCCTTTTTTGGAAGCTTTGAAACAGAGGCTGGATGGCCATCTGTCAGGGGTGATTTGAATGCAATATTCCTGCTTCTTGGCAGAATGGGGTTGGACTGGATGGCCCATGAAGTCTTTTCCAACTCTTTGATTCTATGATTCTATGATTGTATGACTCTTTGCCTGCATTTTGGAGTGCCTCTGGTGCATGTGGCAAGGCTCAGGTTGCATTGCAGCAGGTGGTCAGTGGTTGGCTCTTCTCCACACTCACATGTCGTGGACTCCACTTTGTGGCCCCATTTGTGAGGTTGGCTCTCCATCTCGTGGTGCCAAAGTGCCTTCCAAGTTGCCCAGTCTTCTGTGTGCCCAGGGGGGAGTCTCTCATTTGGTATCAGCCATTGATTGAGGTTCTGGGTTTGAGCCTGCCACTTTTGGACTCTCGCTTGCTGGGGTGTTCCAGAGAGTGTCTCTGTAGATCTTAGAAAACTATTTCTTGATTTAAGTCATTGACTTGCTGGCTGATACCCAAACAAGGATGAGCTGGAGATGTCACTGCCTTGGTCCTTTCACTATTGGCTGCTACTTCCGGCGGATGTCAGGTGGTGCAATACCGGCTAAGCAGTGTAATTTCTCCAGTGGTGTAGGGCGCAGACACCCCGTGATAATGCGGCATGTCTCATTAAGAGCCACATCCACTGTTTTAGTGTGGTGAGATGTGTTCCACACTGGCATGCGTACTCAGCAGCAGAGTAGCATAGCGCAAGGGCAGATGTCTTCACTGTGTCTGGTTGTGATCCCCAGGTTGTGCCAGTCAGCTTTCGTATGATATTGTTTCTAGCGCCCACTTTTTGCTTGATGTTCAGGCAGTGCTTCTTGTAGGTCAGAGCACGTCCAGAGTGACTCCCAGGTACTTGGGTGCGCTGCAATGCTCTAGTGGGATTCCTTCCCAGGTGATCTTCAGAGCTCGGGATGCTTGTCTGTTCTTGAGATGAAAGGCACATGTCTGTGTTTTAGATGGGTTAGGGATCAGCTGGTTTTCCCTGTAGTAGGCAGTAAGAGCACCCTGTAGTAGGCAGTAAGAGCTTCTGTTCAACCATCTCAAAGCTCCCTGCTTGAGCAGTGATGGCACGATCATCAGCATAGATGAAACTCTCTGTCCCTTCTGGCAATGGCTGGTCATTTGTGTAAATGTTGAACATTGATGGAGCAAGCAAACTCCCCTGGGGCAGGCCGTTCTTCTGTTTCCGCCATCTGCTTCTCTGGCCCTGGAACTCAACAAAAAGCTCTTGTTTTGTATCTGATTTCCTTGCGTGGTGATGGCATGATCATCAGCATAGATGAAGCTCTCTGTCCCTTCTGGCAGTGGCTGGTCATTTGTGTAATGTTGAACATGGATGGAGCAAGCACGCTCCCCTGAGGCAGGCCGTTCTTCTGTTTCCGCCATCTGCTTCTCTGGCCCTGGAACTCAACAAAAAAGCTCCTGTTTTGTAGCAGGTTTCCTATGAGGCGGGTGAGGTGGTAGTCCTTTGTGATATTATACATTTTTCTCAGGAGGAGGCGGTGGTTCACAGTCTCATAAGCCACTGACAGGTCTATGAAGACCAAAGAGTTAATTCGGACCCAGAAGGGATCCCAATTGCCGTCAACTCTGAACCCTTTCCATGTTTGCAAAGTTTGAGGGAGAAAAGTGGGACAAAAATAAATGGATGATGATATATGAAATATGATTCTATTTTTCCCCCTCCCCTCTTTCACCTTTTATGTAATCAGAACACTCCAGATGAGGATTTTGTGTTAGATCGGCACCCGTGCTTCAGAAATATTGTCATCGGAGCAGGGTTTTCTGGTAAGTACTAGGAACGGAAGGGACGTGGGAGGAAACTGAGAGGATGACGGAGTGGCGGATGAATCAGAACTTCAGAAAGACTTGAAAGCAGTGCACATGAAAAGGATCTACAGGTCTCGGTAGACTCCAAGCTAAGCATGGGCCAAGAGTGTGGTGCAGCGGCCCAAAAGGCCAAGGCAATTCTGGTCTGCAGATAGTTCTGCTTGGGTCACCCGTGTCCCATTTCGTAGAGTGGGGATCTCGACTTATTCACCACTAGCTTGGGGGCCTGACGGTGCCCAGGTGATTTGAAAAGGGCATTTCTGGATAAGGGTGAACTACAACTCCCATAGGCCAAGGGCAATCACCCCCAAACCCTATCTGAATACGCAATTGGCCATGTTGGATCTGTTTGCTAAGTTTGGTCGAGATCCGTCATTGGCTGGGTTCAGGGCTCTCTGGATAAAGGTGAACTACAACTCCCATAGGCCAAGGGCAATCACCCCCAAACCCTATCTGAATACGCAACTGGCCATGTTGTGTCTGTTTGCAAAGTTTGGTCGAGATCCGTCATTGGCTGGGTTCAGGGCTCTCTGGATAAAGGTGAACTACAACTCCCATAGGCCAAGGGCAATCACCTCCAAACCCCGTCTGAATGCGCAATTGGCCATTTTGGGTCTGTTTGCAAGGTTTGGTCGAGATCTGTCATTGGCTGGGTTCATGGCTCTCTGGATAAAGGTGAACTACAACTCCCATAGGTCAAGGGCAATCACCCCCAAACCGTATCTGAATACGCAATTGGCCATGTTGTATCTGTTTGCTAAGTTTGGTTGGGGTCCATCATTGGCAGGGTTCATGGCTCTCTGGATAAAGGTGAACTATAACTCCCATACGTCAAGGGCAATCACCCCCAAACCCTATCTGAATACGCAATTGGCCATGTTGGGTCTGTTTGTAAAGTTTGGTCGGGATCCATCGTTGGCTGGGTTCAGGGCTTTCTGGATAAAGGTGAACTACAACTCCCATAGGCCAAGGGCAATCACCCCCAAACCCTGCCTGAATGTGCAACTGGCCATGTTGGGTCTGTTTGCTAAGTTTGGTCAGGGTCCATCATTGGCTGGGTTCAGGGCTCTCTGGATAAAGGTGAACTACAACTCCCATATGCCAAGACAATTACCCCCAAACCCCATCTGAATGTGCAATTGGCCATGTTGGGTCTGTTTGCAAAGTTTGGTCGAGTCAGAAACACTGGGATGCCTGTGGTGGAGGAAACACATCAAATCTAGGGTGGAATTGTCCCCGAATGAAAGCCTTAACTTGGGTGGTGGGCAATCGAGTTTGTGTAGGACATTGGCAGGGCACTTGGACATGTTCAGAGTGCTTGATATAACCTGCAATGTCATTGGAGGGAGGGCCATTGGTGTTTCCTGAGTGGTGGGAGTTTGTGGAAATGGGAGCCTGTGTGTAAGTGGACCCCCACTACCACCTAATAGAAGATTATGTGTATAGAAGATAGATGATTCTAAGCTTGCTGTCTCTCCCACAGGCCACGGGTTCAAGTTTGGGCCGGTCATTGGGAAGATCCTTTGCCAGCTGAGCCTTGGAGAAGAGCCCTCCTATGACTTGACCCCGTTTCAGATCAGCCGCTTCCCAAAGGCCGTTTTGTAACCCTCAAAGCCGCAGGATCTCAACCGCCCAAGAGAGAAACCGGCCTCCAGATCTGAAAGTCCCTTGCAAACTGGCTCAATGCCTCGAGCAACCTCCAGGCGACATTCGTAGGGCTTCATAGGATACTCTTAAATCTATCTTTCACGTTGTTGGCTTGCAGAGTTCAAGGAGAATCTAGAAAGTATGGTTGCTTACCTGTAGCCATGTTTCTTTGCATGGTCACCTGTGAAATCCACACACATGTGTGCATTTCACAGGGACCACTCAGGAGAAGTATGGGTTGCTTACCTGTAGCCATGTTTCTTCAAGTGGTCACCTGTGAAATCCACACCTGTGATATTCACTAGAAGAAACATGGGTACAGGTAAGCAACCCATACTTCTCCTGCATGGTCCCTGTGAAATGCACGCATATGTGTGCATTTCACAGGGACAACGCAGGAGAAGTATGGGTTGCTTACCTGTAACCATGTTTCTTTGAGTGCTCACTGGTGAAATGCACACATACATGTGCATTTCACAGGGACCACGCAGAAGAATAGTGGCTTCTGAGGTATCGAAAAGTAGAGAGTTGTAAGTAAACAGTAAAGGGTCCCTTTGAGTCTCCTTCCTTCCTTCCTTCCTTCCTTCCTTCCTTCCTTCCTTCCTACTTTTTACAGTGCCAGGACTCACCCTCCACTCTGCTTAGCATCCTAGGGCCAGACTAATAAAACATTCCTTACTCTATCTCCCAAAGTAAATGAGTAGAAGTAACCCTTCATTTCACCTGAGCCTCTTTGACTAATTGAATTTCCAGATAGGGAAATAAGGGATGCAAATTGGAAACCGTGAGCGACTAGAGTTAATAGTGCGACTTTTAAAGGCATGGCCTCGAGGCGTCACAATTTGGTTTGGAAACCTCCATTCGGAAACGGTGTTTCTACGGCCTTCATCAGAGAGGAAACCTGGATATAAATAAATCTACTACTACTACTAATACTCATCCTTGCCGTTGTCCGTCTCCTTCCCTTCCGAGTGCCGTAAACCCCTTTCCGAAATCAGTGGCTTTAACATTTGGCTTCATTACGGGGTCTGATGAGCCTGCGCTTCGCCTCCCCTCCGCTCCGAAAGGCACACTCCGCAGAGTCAAGCGAAATGTTTTAAAGTTAAATGTGCCATTTTATGATCATTAGATAGCTTAGCTTAATAGAGGCGCATTACCGGCACACGCCGGCTTTTATGGCTCCGGGGCCGGAGCGTCGGAAGGGGCGAAGCATCCATTCCAGAGCCAAAGGAACGCGTGGATTATAGTGCGCAGCTCCGCAGTATCGCCATTGGATGGAAATGCATTGCGCATGGGATGGATCCTTGCCGTTTTACTCAATGGTGAAGATCTTTGGAGACTGGGGTGGGGTTGGTGGCGTCTTCGAAAGTGGGATTGGCGAAGTGGGTTTTGTGCACTTCCGACAAACACTACTGGGACATTCCTTTCCTTTTGCATTTCCTGCCGTGAAAGCACAAAACCCATATTTGGTATACAGGCAGTCCTGAAGTTACAAACAAGATAGGTTCTGCAGAGAAGCCATTGAAATCCACAAGAAGCATGTGGACAATTTCAGCAGAAAGGAGGAAACCATGAAAATGAACAAAATCTGGCTACCAGTATTAAAAAACTCTAAAATTACAACAGCAAAACAACAGAGAGGAAACAATCAAGGACATCTAATCACCTCTCAACAAAAGATTGCCCCAGGCACTGCCAGGCCATCAAATGCTAATCAAGGTGGTCAGTTGAAACATTCACACCTAGCTCCAGCAGACAAGATTCCTTTGTCCCACCCTGGTCATCCACAGATATATAAACTTTTTTTCCTAGTTCCAACAGACCTCACTACCTCTGAGGATGCTTGCCATAGATGCAGGCGAAACGTCAGGAGAAAATGCCTCTACAACATGGCCATATAGCCCGAAAAAACTTACAACAACCCAATGTTGCCATTGGCTTGTTCTTGTTTAATTTGTATTGAAGTCAGAACAGGCACATTTTTAAAGTGTAACTCCATATACACTCCCTGCTGCACTCGCAAAGCTCAGGCGGTATTGAATTTCAGTGTCAACGTTGACTTTGGTGGAGAGGTGTTTGCCAAGAGAGCGGAAATGGTGAACATTTTCTAATGTGACACCACAAGGCTGTATTTCTGGCATTGGAGAGGGATTGGCTGGTGACTGCTGGAAGAGCACTTTGGTTTTCTCGATGTTCGATGACAGATCAAGCTTCTCGGGTGTTTAGAGTGGCTTGTAAGTCTTCTTCTGAATGAGCACAGACCTGGGGCATGAAGATTCAAGTCAAGGGAATGGTGCTTCTCTCTGTGAGAAATCTGACTCAGAAAGTGCAGGGCTTCAAGGTCAGGTAGAGGAGCCAGAAACTGCAACATTAGATAAGGAGTCAGGGAGGGGAACTATGTGGGGCATGAAGATTCAAGTCAAGGGAATGGTGCTTCTCTCTGTGAGAAATCTGACTCAGAAAGTGCAGGGCTTCAAGGTCAGGTAGAGGAGCCAGAAACTGCAACATTAGATAAGGAGTCAGGGAGGGGAACTATGTGGGGCATGAAGATTCAAGTCAAGGGAATGGTGCTTCTCTCTGTGAGAAATCTGACTCGGAAAGTGCAGGGCTTCAAGCTCAGGCAGATGAGCCAGAAACTGCAACATTAGATAAGGAGTCGGGGAGGGGAACTAAGTGGGGCATAAAGATTCAAGTCAAGGGAATGGTGCTTCTCTCTGTGAGAAATCCGACTCAGAAAGTGTAGGGCTTCAAGGTCAGGCAGAGGAGCCAGAAACTGCAACATTAAGTAAGGAGTCAAAGCGTACCGGTTCTCACCGCGAGGGCCTGATATCTGGAGTGTGCCCATGAGATCGACTCCCAGTCTGCACTCGTGAGCATCCTCCGGTTTCTGTTCTTATCCTTGTCCCACGCGACACCAGAGAGACCTATGTCACCCGCCACTAAGCATCAAGTCAAGGGAATGGTGCTTCTCTCTGTGAGAAATCTGACTCGGAAAGTGCAGGGCTTCAAGCTCAGGCAGATGAGCCAGAAACTGCAACATTAGATAAGGAGTCGGGTAGAGAACTAAGTGATACAGAAGGCTCTCAAACACCTAAAACTACGGAAATCAACAAAAGTCTTCATTTACAGATCAGAGCAGAAAATAAGAATCGCAGGTCGGAGCGATTACGTGGGAAAGTTGGAGAGTTAGTTCAGGCAACGTAGCGTTCAAGTGAGAAGCTAGGCCTGAGTTCTCTGGTTCTTGTTCCAAGTCAAGCCTTTGGTTTTGGATTCAAGTATTCTGGAAGTTTCTACGTTCCTGTTGTTGTATTCATGATCAGGTTTTCATGAAGTCTACCTTGTGCTTGTGGACTTAAGCTTGGAGAGTTAGTTCAGGCAACGTAGCGTTCAAGTGAGAAGCTAGATCTGAGTTCTCTGGTTCTTGTTCCAAGTCACGCCTTTGGTTTTGGATTCAAGTATCCTGGAAGTTTCTACGTTCCTGTTGTTGTATTCATGATCAGGTTTTTACGAAGTCTACCTTGTGCTTGTGGACTTAAGCTTGGAGAGTTAGTTCAGGCAACGTAGCGTTCAAGTGAGAAGCTAGGCCTGAGTTCTCTGGTTCTTGTTCCAAGTCACGCCTTTGGTTTTGGATTCAAGTATCCTGGAAGTTTCTACGTTCCTGTTGTTGTATTCATGATCAGGTTTTCACGAAGTCTACCTTGTGCTTGTGGACTTAAGCTTGGAGAGTTAGTTCAGGCAACGTAGCGTTCAAGTGAGAAGCTAGATCTGAGTTCTCTGGTTCTTGTTCCAAGTCACGCCTTTGGTTTTGGATTCAAGTATTCTGGAAGTTTCTACGTTCCTGTTGTTGTATTCATGATCAGGTTTTCATGAAGTCTACCTTGTGCTTGTGGACTTAAGCTTGGAGAGTTAGTTCAGGCAACGTAGCGTTCAAGTGAGAAGCTAGGCCTGAGTTCTCTGGTTCTTGTTCCAAGTCAAGCCTTTGGTTTTGGATTCAAGTATTCTGGAAGTTTCTACGTTCCTGTTTTTGTATTCATGATCAGGTTTTTACTAAACATACCTTGTGCTTGTGGACTTAAGCGGTTCTTGTGATATTTGGCTATTCCTGGGATGCAACATTGGCAAGGGATGGGTTCCTGGATTTTGCGCAGATGGAGAAATTGTGGATAATAGACATTCTATTGAAATGTGGGATGTCCTGCCCTAGAATAACATCGCGTTGGATTGGAGGACCTAGGAAATGCCTAGAGGAGATATATTGGATCCTGGTAGATTTTGAAGGGCTGAGAGGGGATTTCTCTGGGTCACCCGGGAATAGCTTTCCATCTCCATCTCTCTCCAGCCCCACATTTCGAGCAAAATTAGTAGGTCAGAAACAGAAGAAAAAGACACTGGGATCGGTCTTTTGAGTATCCGTGTAAAAGGATATTCTTGAGGAAGGCGAGGGGGTGAATGAGGTCAACGTGTCGGAAGGCCGTCGGGGAAGGGGCCTGAATCATTTATGGGCCTTAATAAATATGCAGATGAGGTGTGGCGAAGGAGCGGGAGCCCTCCGGCACTTCGCATGAATTATTCAACGTTATGGTAATGGGACAGGGGGCTCATTTGCATAAAGCAGGCGCCTCCTCCCGCATCAGCGGCGAGGGAAGAGGACGGTCGTGGCACCCCTTTCAACATATGCAAAAAGACATACGGTGTGACCCTAAATCTACATATGGGGCACATGTTTGGGGACTTGACATCAATCCGCTTGCAGTTCAAGAGAATAGGACCAGGTCTAATGGGTAGATTTCAGACATTGGGGCCTCTTTCAATGGACATCTTCCCAATTAGGCTGTTTCTGGAGGCTTGGAGGTTGGACTAGATGGCCTCTAAGAGCCTCTTTCAACTCTAGGATTCTGGTTCAAGGCACAGCAATCAAGGGTGCCTGTTCAGCACCGTCCAAGTCGCCCAGTCTTCTGTGTGCCCAGGAGGGAATCTCTCATCTGGTATCAGTCATGGGTTGAGGTTCTGGGTTTGAGCCTGCCACTTTTGGACTCTCACTTGCTGAGGTGTTCCAGCTAGTGTCTCTGTAGATCGTAGAAACCTATTTCTTGATTTAAGGTGTTGGCGTGCTGGCTGATATCCAGA